ACAAGCAGCACGAACGTGATCGCGGCAACGACAAAGCAGCGCATTCTTCTCGAGTAGGAGCACGGCCATCGCTTCCTCGCCATGCGTGGCCGCCACGTGCAGCGCCGTCCGCAAGGTCTACGCTGCGGCGTGGTATGCAGCAACAATGAGCGACCTCCGCACCTCGTCCGTCGCGGTGGCGCGCACCCCCATCGCGAGCAGCTTGGCAACAACACCAGTGTCACCCGAGGACGCCGCGCGGAGCAGCTGCGCGCTAAACATAAACGCGTCTGGCGACCGAACAAACGCCGCGACCGTCGCCTGCAACTCAATAAGTATTGCCAATGTCGGGCGAGGGCATGCGTACCTCGGGCAGATGCTTCCATTCTGCGTTGGCAAGAACCAGCGCCAGCGCCATGGTCGCGCTCTTGTTGGCAATCGCGCGGTCCAGAGGGGTTTGATTCTACACGTGCGTTGCTGCTCATAAGGTTCGTGCCATCCGATACCTCGTGCTCGACGTTGATGCTTTTGAGAGACTTGGCCAAGACAGCTTGCAGCATCTCGGTGCTGTTGCGCTCGACAAGGACATGCAGAAGCGGCGCGCCGGCCTACGCCCGTGAGATCACGGCAACACCAACGGTCGTACGTTGTTGCACATGCCGTCGACGTCGACGTCCAAAAGCTTGGTGAAGCCGTCAACGTTGTGGTCGCGCACGGCTCGAAACAGCTACCGGAATATTGTTGGTATACATATATATGTTGGAGCTCGCCGGCGCACCGCGTGGCGTGTAAGCCGGTGCAAGATCACCGTGCGCTGCAACGCCTTGGCCAGCATCCGAGGGGTCTTGCCCGCCTAGCAAAACATGCATGAGGATGTCATATTCCTTTCGTCTGCCTACGAGGTTGGTAACCGAGAGGGACGCGTCGGCGTCCAGCAGCCGTTGGACGACATCAATGCGATCATTCTCGATCGCAACATGCAGCGGCCGCATGGAGCCCTACCATCGGTCTCCATCCACCCTTTGATGACGCATCCGGCGCGGCTACCGCATCCACGTTGGCCTTGTGCGCCACAAAGAGGTCGACGAGTGCGACGTTGCCGTACTTGGCTGCGAGATGCAGTGGCTGGCACAGTGTCTTCTACGCGCAAGCATTCTAGTTCAAGATATGAAGTTTGGGTAACGCACGGTGCGCTCCTTGACGTTGGCGTCGACGTTGACGCTCGCACTGGCTCGCAAGAGCTGGTCGACAATGCCAACATGCTGCTTGGCTGTCGCGACCAAGAGTGCAGTCCAGCCGTTCTAGCAACGATTTGCTCCTCCCATAAAAAGAGAATATGTCATCTGTACCGTTCGCGCAGCGACGTCGATGGTTGCGCCCGCAGCCACGAGCCGGGCGACGACCTCGCCGTGGTCCTTGGCGGCCGCCTTGTGCAGCGCGGTGCGACCCGTTTTCTAGGAAACATACGATCCTTCCTAGTGTCTCGTGTGGACGCACCTCGTCTTGGACGTCGACGGGAACACCTTTTTCTAACAGCGAGGTGACAGAAGCAAGGTCGCCATCACCAGCGGCAAGCAAAAATCGTTGACTCGCAGTGGCTTGAGCAGTTGCCAGGGCGCCAACGACGTCCGAGTGTCCCTGCTGTTGCGCAAGTGCCAATGACGAGTCACCTTCCTACGCCAATAAGACATTTTCCAAACTTGGTAGCCATCATGTTCGTACCACGGTTGTGGCAAACACATTAAAGTCCCTTGCCACGAGCGCCTGCACAACGTCGAGATTTCCTTGCGCCGCCGCCACATGCAGGAGCGTTTGGCCCTTTGAATATATTGCCTTTGAGGCTATATGTCTCGGAGATACGTACGCTGGCCGTGGCACTCGCCGATGCTCCTGAATCAAGCAATCGCTCGACAATGTTGGCGTGGCCCGCTTTGGCCGCCACGAATAAAGGCACCTCGCCGTCCTGTATCAAGTTGATACATTCATTTATAAGTGAAAGAAGTGTGCGTACGTTGTTGGTGCAGTCGAGACCACTGCTGTCGGTCGAATCCTTGAGCAGGTGATCGACGACGGTCAAGTGACCGCTGGCGGCCGCAAGGTGCAGCGGCAGATTGCCTCGCTAGTTAGTGTGGAATATGAAAGGTTGGTTGAATGTAGAGGGATGGAATACATGGTCGCTGTGCAGAGAGAGCGATGGGTCCTTTGCCAGCAGCAGCGTGGTGATGGCGTCGTAGCCGTTGGCAGCGGCAACGTGCAGTGCGGAGGCGCCGTCCTAGAGTTACGGAGGGATCGTTGGACGTTTACAAAAAGAATGTGCGAATGTCGTACCTCATTGGCCATTGCAGGACACACTCCGGCTAGTAGCCAGCGCTCGACGCTGCTGACGTTGTTGGCGGATGCTGCTTGAAGCAGGGCATTGCCAGAGAGATCTGCGGCAAAGAGCCATCGCAGTTGCACCTAGTATCAATGTATCGGGTGTTGTATGTGCACTCGGTTTTCAACCTCGTTCAGCTGGTCTACGCTGGCGTTGGCTTTCAACAGAGCAAAAACCGCTGCAACGTTGCTCTTGGCGATCGCACGCGTCAGCGCCGTGCGCTCTTCCTACGACAGTACGTTATGTGGAATATAATATATGTCCTCAATGAAGAAGTATACCTTGTCGGTGGCGTTGACGTCGAGGTTGGGCTTGGACAGGAGGGTTTGTAGGAGCGCCATGTCCCCCGTGTCGACCACCAACTGCAGCAGTGGGACATAATTCTACAACAATAGGATCCTTAGTACGTAGCTCGCGATGGAGTCGACGTACGCCATCCCGCAGATTCACGTCCACCGTGGTTGACTTGATGAGGGTGATGGCATCTTGGATGCGT